ACGCCCCCCCGACGCACCCCCACCCGCGCTCCTGCCCCCCCCCCTGCCCCTGCCCAGGCAAGCAGATCTCCTGCTGGCACGAGATCCCCCTCCACGCGGGCGACGGCCTGCTGCACTTCATCTGCGAGATCCCCAAGGAGACCAGCGCCAAGATGGAGGTCGCCACCGACGAGCCCGCCACCCCCATCAAGCAGGACACCAAGAAGGGCAAGCTCAGGTTCTACCCCTACAACATCAACTGGTGCGCGGACTAGACCAGTCCAGACCAGATCAGTCCAGACCAGTCCAAACCAGAACAGCACTGCGGGCAGCCCAGCAGGGGCTTGCTGGGGGCTTGGAGCGGTTGCAGGCTTGCAGCGCTTTCTAAAAGAGATGGCAGGGCGGGGGTCTCGTGCGCTGGTGTGTGCTTTGACTGCGCGCATGCGTGTGTGTGCACTCGGCCGGGCTATGAGTATGGGCGGCAGCCACGGTGTCCGGCAGCCCCCTGTGCCTCTTGCCTCTTCCCGCGCCTTGCGGCCTCCCGCTCCTCATCCTGTCCGTGACCGATTCCTCCCCCCTCCTCCTCATTGCTGCAGGAACTACGGCCTGCTGCCTCAGACCTGGGAGGATCCCGCCCACAAGCAGGAGGACCTCGGCGGCGTGGCGGTGAGGGGGGCAGGGGGGTGGGGTGCGCGCGCACGCGCGCGCGCGTGCGCGCGCGTGCGTGTGTGTGTGTGTGTGTGCACACGCACGTGTGTGTTTGTGGTTGTGTGTGCAAGTGTGTACGTGCGTGCAGCGATGCATGGATAGCTGCCAGCTGCCTGACTGTGGGAGTGGTGGTGTCGGGAGCATGATGGCAGCTGCATGGTTGTCCTGCCGCGTGAGACGGCTCCTTGTGGCTTGCCGCTCCGCTGGATGCCTTCGGCCCCAATGAAATAAACTCCAATCACACACACGATCTATGATCTCCGTGATTACATCAATGGACTTCTGCAATCTTGAGGGGCCCTTGAACAGCTGCACGGTTCTCTTCTTCGCCTGTGCACCCCGCATTTCAGACGGACTTGCTTGTCCGTGTAGTGGGAGCGATCTATCGCGCACCACCCCACCCCACTGGCTCTCCCCTCCTCGAATCGTTGTCGCCGTCATCCTCTCAACCCAACCCCCCAGGGTGACAACGACCCCGTGGACGTCGTGGAGATCGGCAGCACGCAGCTCAAGATGGGCGGCGTCTACAAGGTCGGCCGCCGCGGGGCCCCTGCGCTGCGCGCCGGCCCGCACCCCTCGCCTCGCCCCCGCACGTCACCCCTTGCCCCTCGAAGTTTTCCTTTCTTTCGCTACTTCGAACGCGCCCTCCGGCGCACACACACACAAACAAACACACGCTCACACATATGCCCACACACAAATACACACACACACACACATCCACCCTCCTCTCCCCACACATGCATTTGCCCCCCCAAACCCTCCCCCTGTGATCCCCCAGGTGAAGCCCCTGGGTGTGTACGCGATGATCGACGACGGCGAGCTGGACTGGAAGGTCATCGCCATCGAGGCCAACGACCCCAAGGCCGCAGCCATCAACAACCTCGAGGACGTCGAGAGGTGCGCGCAGCACGCAGCGCAGCACGCAGCGCAGCACGTGGCGCAGCACGCAGCGCGGCACGCAGCGCAGCACGCAGCGCGGCCTGCTGCGCAGCGCGGCTCGCGGCGCTGGCCCGCAGCGCAGGGAGTTGAGTGCAGAGGGAGGCGGCGGGCGCGTGATGCGCGGCGCGGCGCGGCGCGTGGGGGCCGCTAGGGCGGCAGGGGCTGCTCCGCGCCGCCCGCGTCGCCGGGCGGCGCGGCGTTTGGCTTTGTGCTGCGGGCGAAGCCTTCGCGCCAAGCCCGTGGCAGGGCCGGCTGCAGCTGACCGCGTCTGTGTCTTTCCGCCCATCTTACCCGCGCTGTCCCCCCCGCCTAGGGAGTTCCCTGGGGAGCTGCAGAAGGTGCTGGAGTGGTTCCGCGACTACAAGGTGCGGCTCAGGGGGACAGCCCGCCGCAAAAACGCAGCGATCCACAGCTCCCTAATCGCCCCCCCCCCCCTGGCGGGGTGCCCCGCGACCGCGCTAGAGGGCCCTGCTTTTCAAAACTGCCCCTGCTTTGAAGCTCCGCCGCTTTCTCCTCGTCCGTCGCGGCGCGCGCGCGAGGCGCACCCCGGCCTGCGGCACACGCGACGCCTGCACACCCGCTCTCACGCGGATGCAGATCCCCGACGGCAAGGGCGCCAACGCCTTTGGCTACGACAACAAGTGCCTGGACGCAGAGTTCGCCCTCAAGGTGACCCTTCGGCTTCTATTGTGTGATCAATGATCACACCTCCCTGATCACACCTCCCTGCGTTTTGAGGGTCGCTGAGGCCACCATGGCATGCTGCTTTACACATGCATCGTTGCCGCTGCCGAGGAGGCTCGCTATTCTGGGCTAAAAGGCCCAGCTAACCCCGTCTGCTGTGCGGCCCCCCTCCTGCAACGTGCCCTCCCCCCCGCTGCCCCCCACCCCCCTCCTGTTTTGCGCCAGGTCGTCAGCGAGACCCACGGGTTCTACAACGCCCTCAAGAGCGGCCGCCGCGCCAACAACGAGGAGCTCTCCCTCATCTAGACCCCTGACCCCTGCCCCCTGCACGCCGCACAACGCACCGCCGGGACGGCCCGGGGCGCCCCCGCCCCGCGGTGCGCGCGGCGCGGCCGCCTCTCAATTTTCGCGGGCTTGGCTGACCTCGGGGCCGGCAGGTGTGCGCGGGCAGTGCGCTGCGCGCCGCCTCTTTTTGGCCACGGGGCGTTGTCAGGCCGTCGGAGGCTTCTCACCCTGTTGTAACGCACGTGTCGACTGCACGCCAACATAAGAGTGCTGCCCTTGTAACTTGCCAGCAAGCAAGGGACCCTGGAATGCAGGGCTTGCATGACAGGCTAGGGTTTGCATGAGCGAAGCCGCCAACTTCCACCATCATCATCATCATTTACTGTGATTTGCCCCATGAGGCGGCACATGGTTGTGCTGTGGCGGCAATGTGTGGCGGCAAACTGCCCTGGAAGTCAATTGACCGTGTTGTGATCGTGCACCAGACGGACAGGGCTGTTTTCAAAGCATAGGGTGAAGTTGGTGGGGTCAGTTCTTGCTGCGGTCTGCTGCATAGGTGCGCCTGCAATACGGGCTGTCAAAGAAGTCAGCGCCCCGCGTCAAAAATTGGGCACAAACGGCAAAATGGGTGCACAGCCAGGCGCACCAATAAGGCTTTCAAGCCCCGACCCAGGTCTAGGCTTGCCTGTCGGGCCTGAGAAGTGCCACACAGGCCAAAAGGTGGCCCCGCACAGGGGCATGCGCGCGCACAGAGCTATCGGGCGGCGCGAGGGCGCCCGGAAGTCAGAACTTGACGTTGAGCGGCGGGAACGCCTGCGGGGCGCCATGCAGTGCGGGGGCAGCGTCAACACCCAGCAAGCTGAGCCCGTCCGGCCCCGTCTGGGCGCACCACCACGGCACCTGTGGATGGCGGCGGCGGCGGATGGAAGCGGCCCCGCCCGTGCGGCGCCGGCCTCCTGCACACCGTCTTGCCTAACCCCTCCCCGAGCGCACACGCACAAACCGACGCCCCCCCCCCCCACCGCTGCACCGCGTGCGCCCTTGAGAAACTCACACCACCCCCTCCCAGCCGCAGCCGGGTGCCCATATGC